CTCCCTCGGCCGTGCGCCCTGGCTGACCCGCGACGAGGTGCCTCGCCGCCGAGGTCCGCGGGGCCGGGCCGCCGGGCATGGGGAAGGCGGCGGCCGGGGCCGGGCGGTGAGTGGCGAGCGGCGGGGGCCGGCATGCGCCCGCCGTCGCCCGCGCCATGGAGGAGCGCTGGCACAAGGTGCTGGTGGCGCTGGTGATGCTGCTGCTCTTCGGCGGGCTGGTGCTGCAGTACGTGTGCCCGGGCAGCGAGTGCCAGCTGCGGCAGCGCCTGCAGGCGGCCAGGGCGCTGGGCGGCGTCTCGTCCTCTGCGCGTCGGCAGGCCGACCCGTACCGGGTCGAGGACGAGAGCCCACCGCGCTTCGTGCCGCGCCTCAACTTCTCGGCCGAGGACTTGCTGCGCCGCGTGGACTTCAACATCAAGGGCGACGACCTGATCGTCTTCCTGCACATCCAGAAGACCGGCGGCACCACCTTCGGGCGCCACCTGGTGCGCAACATCCAGCTGGAGCAGCCCTGCGAGTGCAAAGCCGGCCAGAAGAAGTGCACCTGCCACCGGCCGGGGAAGCAGGAGACCTGGCTCTTCTCGCGCTTCTCCACCGGCTGGAGCTGCGGATTGCACGCCGACTGGACCGAGCTCACCAACTGCGTGCCGGCCGTGGTGGACAGCAAGAAGGACGCCAAACTGCGTCCCACCAGGTGAGGCGGCTTCCCCTTCCCAGGCCGAGCCTGCTAGCAGTAGTCTCGGCGGGAGCTGTCTGCTGAGTGAAGCGGGGGTCAGGATCGGGGAGGCCAAACTGCAGGGGTAGGACCTCGGACCTCCCTGCTCCCTCCTGATTTGGAAACCATTGGTTTCAAGGAAAGGCTGCACTCCTAAGTCATGCTTACCTGGAAAGACCGTTCAAGCCAGTCAGATTTACTTCTCAGTAAACAGGGTTAGGATGGGTGAGTAAAAGGTGTTCAGAGTTATGGCTGGGCTGAAGGTGCTAAAATCCAGTCATTCTGCTGGCTTAATGTCATTAAAATCCTGCCAGTCAGGTTCATTAAATGGGTGGTTAATCCTTACTTGAGAACACCTTCGGGCCCCTAGACCTCAGTGTACGTGTATTCCACTCTCTTGCTGTTTCCACTTCACTGTTCTACTTAACAGGAGACCATTTCTGGACACACTGCAGTTTAAGGCAATTCCTTGTTTCTCCTACTCAGGAAAAAAAAATCATGGCTTTTCAGCATGCTAAATCCAGCCAGTTTGGACTTGGGATGGTTAAAAGGTTCTTGGTTCCTCCCCTTATTTTTTGCAACCCCAAGATGAGCCGTTGCAATAGACGGTAAAGTGAATGTGGAATAGTCATAGATTTTTGTGCATCACATAGCACAAGTAAGAGCCCTCCCGCCCCCAAAAGCACAAACTTAATTTGCTTACCACCTAGCACCAAGAGGGAACTGAAAATGAAAAACCAGATAAACAACACTCAAGTCTAGTAGCATCTTAAAGACCAACATGATCTCCAGGGTATAAGCTTTTGAGAGTCATAGGTCCCTTCGTCAGATACAAGTAGGAATGGAGATTTCTGAACCCTGGTCTCCCACTACCTGTTCCCTTTGTGCACAAGAGTCTTGCTATTTCTCAAGGAGGCAGAGGGCTCGAAGTCTAAGGCAACTTAGAGATTTGTGAGATGTTTTAACAGTCCTTCTCACTGATGTTCTCCTGTGTTTTAAGTCCCCCTCCCTGCCTTGGATTTCTCCTGATTTCAACAAGACCTCAGAATGTTTGATATTATTGCAGACAACTGCTGAAGTGCAAACTTGGGCGTGACAATAAAGAAACAAAAAAAATCTTTCCTGAAGGTGAGAAGCTTTGGCCATCTCTTGATCGTTGGTGCTATCCAACATTAGGTAGGTTCAGTTGTGTGTGAGAGCAAACAGGGCCAAGCCAATTGTTTAACTTTTAGAGCCACTTGTCCTCCTGGAAAGCCTGTTACCTTTCTGCTGTGTTGCTGCTGGCTCTTACTGGGGTGATCCCTGTAAGCTCATGCTTGAAAGTTCCTCCTTCGTGCTCCTGGAATTGCATTATTTTCCTTCCCCGCTATGTTAATGTCTGTGGAAACAGCACGAGTTGAGGTTCCTGTTCTTCGAATGGGAAAGAGAGGCGAAGCCATGATGTAGAAGGAGCAAACTTAATTTCTGAGAGAGATGGAGAGTGTATGAGACTCATTCCGTACTGATGTCCACATTTTGGCTTGACTTGCTTCCCCCGCCCCCCACTCTCTTCCTTCTTTTGCTAACCATTTGCAAATAGTGAGCAGGGAAAGCCTGGTGGTTTGGGGCTTGCTGATTGAAATAATTCCAGCCCTCTTTTGTCTCAGGATTTGTAACAGTGGCTTCGCTCTGATACGGTACTGCAGGAACACTGCTTCTACGTAGCATACAAAAGAGCAATTTTTCCCCCCTACAGCGAAATGCAATTATTGTCCAGCTGTCCAATTTTACAGACCGATGGTGTCAATATTCCTGAGAGTCAGGATCTCTTTTCCATCCCCATCTTTTCCAGTCATTTCCCTCTTCCAGGATATCCTGCGGTCATTTAGCTTTTGTTTTTTCTTTGTCCTGGAAGGGAGATGGAGCTTGTGTCTTCCTGCTTTTACAGACCTTAGTCAGTGATATCAAAGGTCTTCTGTTGTTGGCTGGCAACCCATTTTGGCAACAGGGGCATAATGCACCAGGAGATATTTCTGGGCTGCCCTTTGGATCTCTCTGATGTGTTAAATGTATTGAGCTAGCAAGTGCAGCCCACGCAGATCACCTGTGAACCAGGAAAAGCGCCCAGTCCCTAAATGCTCAAAGAATGAGCTGTTTGTGAATTTATAATTTGAGCCATCTGTACATGGAGCTTCTTTTCTTGGGGGAGAGACGGAGGGGGTACCAACACTAGAAATGAAGCAGACACCCATCTTTAAGTAGGCATCTGGAACAAAGAACCTCGCAAGCAGTTTGGTTCATCTTGAGCAGTGGACGCTGGAACAAAGCCGGCGGCTTGCCCAAGTCGTATGTCTTGCCGACAGTTTTGATTGTGCCGGTTATAGAATCCTTGTAGTCTGCAGGTAAACCCAAGAGCAATTATTAGGCCAAGTGGCTTCTTGGAGAGTGCCTCTAGTTTATTCTCCCATACAAATGGGCCTTGATCATTTTTGAGAGTCCTGCTTTGGTTGCTGATTTGGAGGGTGGAAATCCGTCCCATGGTGATTTATTCCCTCTCTGTGCAAATTGTTTAGATTGGTGATCAGATAGGGTTGCAGCATTTACCAATAAATAAAAACAGGCAGGCATACTTAAAAGCTGTGTGTTTCATTTTAGTGCTGGATTTTTTTGGGGGGTGCATGGGTTTGCGATATGCCTCAGATTTAGCCTTCAGAAAAGCTTTCCTATAAGAAGCTTGGTGATCTCTTATTCCGAGTTCTTCTTTGAGAGTTAGATTTCAGCGTAAACGTTGTCATTTTCTGGTGTTTAGCTTGCTGGCACTGAGCAATTGTGCAGTCGTTAAAAAGTTAAGATAACAGTGGTATCTTAACAGGTGATTCACATTGGCTGCATCGTCTTTATTTGGGGCACAGAATGTGCCATATGTGGCGATTATAAGGGGGGGTGGGAACTGACTGCAGTTCTGCGGCACAATTGCAACATCTGTATTCAAGTATTTGTTAACTTCTGCATTATCTGAACCATCAAGGCTAAGCACAGATTGACTTGAAACCAAATGCAGTAGTGCCTTTCTAGAATTCCCCCCCCCCATGTAAACACCATACTGCCATCTACGGAAAATGCTTGGCATCATTATTGTCTGCCTTCCAAAAGGAGAGCATGTTTTCCTTGTCTTTGTCCTCTCATGTGCTCTCTGTAATTTCTTTCTTTCCTTAGAGGCTCCTTTCAGTTGCAAGCCTTTAAGAGAGCAGGAACACAACAGAGCTGGTTTACGCTTCTCTATCTTTTGCCCCAGTGGAAGGCATAGGCAGCCGTTGTACAGTGAAGTAGACTCCGGTGTTTATGAACTGCACCTCTCCCCCAGTCTGAAAAGCAGGTAAACCAAAGAAAGAGCAGGACAGGCAAAACTTTGACTCAGATATGGGTGGTTCCCCCTCTTTGTCAAATCTTTGTTTTGGTAGGAAAACACAGGACTAAGGATCTGCATTTTGTAAATGAGGGGGAGAATTGCCCCCTAACCTGTATCCCAGCTAAGGGAGTTGTCTTGAAGTCACATGATACAGCTGAAATTAAATGGGATTGTTTAATACCCGGGTGGGAAACCTCTTGGGACATCCCACCTTCACATGCACTACCTTGAGCTTCACAAAGGAAGGAATGCAGAATATGACTATAATGAAATAAATGTTCCGAAGGGTAGCCAACAGCGTGCTGTACCAAACACATTCAGCTCACAGCTTGTGTCCTCAACCGCTAAGCTATGCTGGCTGCAAAGTACATCTGCTTCACAGAGGCTGGAATGCAGCTTGTGGGCAATGATGAGGGAGAGAAATTTTTTTCCAGGCTAAAAGTTAAGTGGATTCTTGTTAGCAGTCAGCATGCCACAAGTTAGTAACTTTGGGATCTGTGTTAATAGGTGGGCTACGAAATGATTTGCCAGGTAGCCGCTGTTGAGGGCCTGTTTGGTTTAGTTGTCTGTTGTGTCTTAGGGTCGCAAGCGTAAGCCGCTTCCAAGAGCTGCTCTGCTAAACTTGGCAGGAGGCTTCTGCCCCTTCTTAAGCCTTTATTTAAAACAACAACAACAACAAGTTTTACTCCTTATGTACTTTTAAAATAAAATAATTGCACAGCCTGCCAAGTAACTGGTGAGAATTCCGAAAATACTCTTCTGACTAGCTATTATTGAGATTGCAGTGTGCAAACGCTAAAAAAGGAAAGACGGAGTGTGAACAACCATTCTTTCCACTCCTCCTCACACCTGTTAGATGAACTTGTGTTCCTTTTCTTTGTGCTGTCAGTATCGCAGTCACCAGCTGGTGAAGGGAACAGCTAACGTTCTTTTGCATCTCTGCTTGGTCCCAGTGCAAGTTTATTGTGTGTGGATGCTCCCCGCAGCCTCATGCCCACCGCCCAACTGGGCTTGTGGGCGTGAGTGAGACTTATGTTCTCCTGATCCTCCCTCAGGTTTGCGGTGGGCTAAAACAGACCGGTTATTGCTAGTCCCATCGCTGGCCCTTTTTAAAGGTTCAGTAGGAGAGTCTTACTGAGAGCCAGTGTAGTGTAACGATTAGAGTGTCAGTCTAGGATCTGGGAGACCCAGGTTTGAATCCTTCCTCTGCCATGCAAGCTCTGTGGGTGACCTTGGACCAGTTGCGCACTCTCAGCCTAACCTGCCTCACAGGGTTGTTGTGAGGATAAAATGGCGGAGGGAAGAATGATGTAAGTTGCTTTTGGGTCACCACTGGGGGGCGGGAAGGCAGAGTATAAATGTAGTAAATAAATAGATACATAAATAATCTTGGGAAATTTTCTACCTAAGACTGTGGAGAGCTGCTCCTGACAATACTACCAGGCTCTGTGGACCAATAGATGGTATAAAGCAGAGCCTTCTCCTCTATGGATCCTCTTGCTATTGAGATGTTCTAGTGATGCTTGGTCCTTGGTGGATGCATGGTTGGTTGAAATCTGCCATGATCAGGGCCTCTCCTGTACTGTGGAAT